GAATGAACAAAAAAGGGGTCCGGGGGACAGGGTTTCGGGAGGCCAAAAATGCTGTATTCAGTGTATAAGACGCACCAAGATTTTCACCCTCTTTTTTGAGGGAAAAAGGTGTGTCTTATACGGTACATTCAGATGCATTTTGCAATCTATGTCCTACTATATCATGTGTACTATTTCTTCTGTATAAAAATAATGAAGATTGGTCTTAATTAAAAATATGTAAGATTCATCCTTTTAGATTAAAAAGTTTGGAATTTGGACCCTCATACACACAATATTTCATCTTGATGGAAACTGAGTCAGAAAATATCACGCTATGGTACTTACATACAATATTCTGGTTCTGCCTTTAAAAAAAAAATACTGATAAATAAAACACCTGCCTGATCTTGATATCCCTTTTATCATTTTCCCATATCAACTACTTACTCATGTAGTGGATTTTTTTTCCAGATAATGAAATTTGTTGTAATTCCAATATAAAAGATATAAAGATGAAGAGCACTCAATTTTTAAAAAAATTAAAGAATATTCTTCAGTTAACTAGTTTTGACAACCTCCTGATTAATTTGTATCTGTTTGTTTTGGCACATAAATTCTTCATTGTAGGCCCTGGTACTTTGTTCTTCTTTACAGTTTCCGAAGTGTGATTGTGTTTCCTCCAGCAGTTGGGAAAACTGTATATTCCTGTTTCCTTTACAAATGTAAATGTCAGGTTTTTTTGTATGATTTTTCCCATATTTTCCATTTTGTTAATCATTTTTGTTGAAATATGTCGACTTGTTTCATTCTGCTTTGTTTTCCTATGAAACAAACTAGAGGGCTAAAACACGATGTATTAATTGAAAGTAAAAAGAAAAGGCAATATTATTGTTCTTATTTAAAATGCAGCCATAATTGTTTAAAAGGGAAATGCTTCCAATAATTATTCCTTTCATGAAGCTTTTAAAAATTAGATAATATGACAAAGTTATCTTAAAGTACATACTATATGTATTTCTATGTATGTGTGTTATTAAATACTTACCGGTATGTTATCCTACTATTCCTTCTATATCCCTTATTCCACTGAATGTAAAATAGACATTTTGACCAAACAAAGCAAAGACAAAGGGTAAACCTGATTACTTTGATTGATTGTTTATTTGTTGTGCTTTCAAGTTAGTGGCAGGTGATTCTTGGCAAATGTTTGAACAAGATCTGAGCAATCTTTCTTAGCAAGATTTGTGGAAGTGGTTTGCCTTTGCCTTCTTCCTAAGGCTGAGAAAAGGTGGTGGCCCAAGGTGCTTACCTGACTTTTGTGCCTAAGGCAGAACTAGAACTCACGGTTTCCTGATTTTAATTTGGTTCCCAATTTTAATCTTCTCTTTGGTAGTTCTTTCATTAGGGAATTGTTTCCTATCTTGATTCTTTGTCATTGTATGTTGTAAATTACTCTTCTTAAGAATGAGAAGAAAAACAAAAGTAATTTACAAGGCTACTTATCCCAAGACTAAGGAGTCATCTTTAACAGAAGTCTCCAACCTTGGCAACTTTACAACTTTACGACATGTGGACTTCAACTCCCAGAATTCCTCAGCCAGCTGGTTGAGGAATCCTGGGATTTGAACTCCACAAGCCACTTCCCCCAAAACTGTGCATCTGCT